TGTATATCTCCATGTACACACGCACGCTCGCTTGTATATCTACATGTACACACGCACGCTCGCTTCTACATGTACACACGCACGCTCGCTTGTATATCTACATGTACACACGCACGCTCGCTTGTATATCTACATGTACACACGCACGCTCGCTTGTACATGTACACACGCACGCTCGCTTGTATATCTACATGTACACACGCACGCTCGCTTGTATATCTACATGTACACACGTACGCTCGCTTGTATATCTACATGTACACATGCACGCTCGCTTGTACATGTACGCACGCACGCTCGCTTGTATATCTACATGTACACACGCACGCTCGCTTGTATATCTACATGTACACACGTACGCTCGCTTGTCACTTGTACATGTACACATGCACGCTCGCTTGTACATGTACACACGCACACTTGCTTGTATATCTACATGTACACACGCACGCTCGCTTGTATATCTACATGTACACACGAACGCTCACTTGTACATGTACACATGCACGCTCGCTTGTACATGTACACACGCACACTTGCTTGTATATCTACATGTACACACGCACACTCGCTTGTATATCTACATGTACACACGCACACTCGCTTGTATATCTACATGTACACACGCACACTCGCTTGTATTATATCTACATGTACACACGCACACTCGCTTGTACATGTACACACGCACGCTCGCGTGTACATGTACACACGCACGCTCGCTTGTAAATTCCCAGTTGGCCTACACCCATTTCTCCTACTCCCAATTCGTCTACGCTCAAAATCTACCCCATTCCCATTTCGTCTACGATCGATTTGTTCACTAAATAAACATTTATAAATAATAAAATATGGTTTTGCTTGGCATACATAGACTACAGGAACCAGAACAAAACATAGGTAGAAGAACACAACTTTACAAAAACAGAAAATACAGTAGTATAAAAATGAAACAATGGGAGTAGGTGAAATGGGAGTAGGCGAAATGGGACGTAGGCGAAATGGGTGTAGGCGAAATGGGAGTAGGCCAATTAACTGGGATGTTACCTATATGGTTACACTCAGATACACACATATACACATGGGTATGCACAGGCATATACAAATATATACAGCTATATAAAGGTACACACATATACACATATACATGTATACATGGCTATTATGAACCTCACTTGTGCTCTAGCATGGACGGATAGCGAATTTTGTTGTTGTTTGTGTGTACATTTTGAATGTTCCAAGTACCAATTTTGCCCTATTAATTATAGGCATTGCATACAAGCCTTGTACAAAATGTACACACAAACATGCCTCTCTATGCTATGCGAGCTGAGAGCTGCGAGTTGAAAAAAACAATGCGTCCAAGCGAACAATCAAGCGAACAATGCGAATTAAACAATCAATGCACAGCAACTCTGTGCAAACTCTGGCAAGGGGAGGGGCGTTATCCAAATTTAAAGATTTCTTTCAATTCAGGGGATTTTCACAATCAAATTCAAGGATTTCTCCTAAAGGGGGTCATTTGTACCCTACACCTATGCCTATAACCATGACAAAATAGCAATAGGAACCTCTTAAAGTTCATCAGGTTTTACTGAGTGCTGTCGTGTAGTGCTTCTGCTGGTCAATAGGAAAAGGGCGTAGAACCATGCCCCTCTATTTAAAAAAATGAATCAGATAAGTTAAATCCTGGTTCCAAAAATATAAAAGCTAAAAAAATTGTATGGCGCGCCTCGGCGAGAATCGAACCCATGATTCGCCAAGTTCATTACGGTTTGCAAGTCTGGCCACAAGGGCACACAGCTAAAGTTGAAACTGTTGACGCCAGAAGTTGATTTTGATTGGCTAAATGTACAATGTGCTTGCTGAAAGGGTCAGAAAAAAAAAATGTGCGGGCGGATAGACCAATAACACAAACACCAACACCATGTGAAAGACAGCATGATCGATCGATCGGCACGGATAGACAGACCGACGCAACAACAACTCCGCGACAACTCATAATCACCAGACGTTAAATCGCGTGTTTGGGTCCACCAGGGAGCGCTTACCTCTGCCGACCGGCGGGATGGGAATAGCCTTCAGCCGCCTGGTGTCCGGCGTCGAACACTGGATCGTGTCCACCGCCGTCCGATTGGCTGCCGTCAGCACGTAGGTGGCGCCGGCGTAGAAGACGCACTGCAGCTCCGCCGTGTGCGCGCGGAGGTTCTCGACGTGGATCGTCAGCTGCCGGGGAGGAGGACGCGTTACCACGGCAACGGGGAGGGATGGTGCGAGCAGCATCCGACCGAAATATACATTTTTCTTCTATCATCATTTTTGATCGTATCTCACATTGGAGAGTCCAGTAAAGACTGCAACGCGAGGCAAGCGCTGGAATACAAGAGAACGTCGCATCGGGCTGAAAGCGCCATAAACCAAGAGAACGTCATGTCGCGGTGCGATCACCGGCAGACAATAGAGCGTCGTTTATGCTCACCGTCTTCTTCTTGGTGACCTGGAGGCTGTGTGGGAGTACGTCCTTGATGAGCATGCAGTCACCGGTGCGGTAGTACACCCAGTCCGTGTTGCACTCACGCCGCGGCGTGCAGCGGGGGCTGAGGCAGCAAATACAGCAGTTACATACACGCACGCACTCACGCACGCACGCACGCACGCACGCACACACACACGTACACGCACGCACGCACGCACGCACGCACGCACACACACACACATACAGAATATATACACATAAACACCACGATGCTTACTTGACCTCCAATTCACCTTTATACTCCTTGTTCAAAAATTCCATCTGCAGGCCATTGCGATATTTTTGCCCTTGCCTCCGTTGATGTTTACTGTCCTGTTCTAGAGCCAGAGAGAGAGGAGGTGGGAAAGAGAGCCAGATACAGAGAGAGCGACAGACAGAAAGAGAGATCTAGATAGAGAAAAGAGAAAGATAGAGAGAGAGGGGCAGAGAGAGACAGATAGAGAAAGAAGACAGGGAGAAGGTGAAAGAAAAGAGCGTGCGCATGAGAGAGGCAGAGAGATAGAGAGAACAGCAAGCGAGCGAGAGAGAGAGAGCGACGTAGTGCCGGACGGACGGACTCACCAGCTGCTTGTTACAGGTGACGACGCGTGACGTGGCGTTGTACTGGGCAGCGGTCAGCATCGAGCGACCGGACACGCGGAAGCGACAGTGAAACTCCGACATCAGCGACGACAACACGTTGACCGCCGTCACGGCGATGCGCAGACGCTCACCAGAGGGCACCAGGAACTGCGCGTCGTCGGGGGCAACGGTGATGCGGGGGCAGTCGGCCGGCCCGCGGTGCTGCCCGGATGCTGTGCTCTGCGAGTGTCGTCATGGTAACAGAGTTAGACACTGACGGTACAATAGATGGCACCACTGTACAATCAAGAACCTATGTATGGTATTATTGTTGGAATAATGTTTGTAATATATATATAGGACTGCATATAATAATATATAATAACATATATTGAAAATATTATAATAACATATCATAAATGTATAATGAATAAATTTAGATTATGAGATTATTTAAAATAAAATATAACTTTGATAGATATGATCATTTTCAGAGCTGGCACTAAATACGAGCAGTGCCACAGATTGTGAGTGCGGCTGTGTGTGGCACTACAACCAGCATCAGTGCGGATGTGGTGTGGCAGAGTACTCACGCTATGTGCGTGCATGTTGTCGGATCGGTCCTCACAGTAGTTGTCAGGGTTGTGCGTGCACTGACCGAGTGACGTGCACCACGTACAGCCAAACTCATTGTCCGTACATCCCATGCAGCTGTAAAATATATATATATATATATATATGTATACATACACATATAACGAGAGAGGGGAGAGAGAGAAAGAGATAGTGAGAGGGACAGAGAGTGTGTGAGAGAAAGANAAAGAAAAAGAGGTGAGAGAACGAGAGAGAGGAGAGAGAGAGAGAGAGAGAAGAAGAGAGAAGAGAGTGAGAGAGAGAGAGCGAGACAGAAAGAGAGAGAAAGAAAGAAAGGGAGGAAGAGGAGGGAGGAGAGAGAGAAGAATGGAGAAGAGGGAGCAGGAGAGAGAGAGGAAGCAGGAAAACGAGAGACGAAAAAAAAGAAGGAGTCGTGGGAGGAAATTTGAAACAGAGAGAAAAAAGAAGAATGCGAGAAAGAGGATGGGAGAAAAGAGAGAAAAGCGATAAGAGAGAGATAAGAGAGAAGGAGAGCGAAGGAACTGAGAAAGAGGAGAAGAGAGAGAGAAAGGAGGCAAGAGATGCGAGAGTGCAACGAGCAAAATAGAGAGAGAATAAGAGAGAGAGAGTGCAGTGAAGTGAGAGTGGATGAGAAAGAGAAGGAGAAGAGAGCAAGGAGAGAGAGAGAGATGGAGAGATACAGATGGAGAGAAGAGAGAGAGAGAGAGGGAGAACGAGGGAGAATAGAGAGAGAGAAGGAAAGAGAAGAGAGGGGACGTTAGATGAAGAAGAAGAGAGGGGATGTGGGGGAGGAGGAGAGAGAAAGAGAGAGAGCAAAAAGAGAAGAAAGAGAGAGAGAGGAAAGGTCGGAGAAAGAGAGAGGGGAGAGAGAGAGGAGAGAGAGGAGAGAGAGAGATTGAGGAGAGAGAGGATGAAAGGAGAGAGAGAGAGAGAGAAGAGGGCGGGGGGGTGAAGAGAGAGAGAAGTGTGTCTGCGGTAGTGTGAGAGAGTAATAGGGGGGGGGAAGGTCTAGTAATAACGAGACAACAACAACAACAACAACAAAAACAACAACAACAACAACAACAACAACAACAACAACGGCGAGAGAATCTTACTTGATGTCGGAGTAGCACCAGCCGCAGTGGGCATCCCCCGAGCCGACACACTGGCCACAGTCAGCATACTGCTCACACGTCTCCACTCTCAGCTTGCTCAGCTGTAGGCAGCGGCGGCGATGTACCACGGAACGGCGCGTCGCAGCACGGAATGGTGCGTCACAGCACGGAACAGCGCGTCATAGCACGGAACGGTGCGTCACAGCACGGAACGGCGCGTCGCAGCACGGAACGGTGCGTCGCAGCACGGAACGACGTGTTGTTGTCGCGAGGAGTCGCGGAGCATGGAACAGAAACATAACGCAGCATGAAACAGAGCATAAAGGAATGATATATCGAGACGGCACGATACGGATGCGCTGCGGAGAACGAAACGAAAATGCAACGTATCGTATCGCGGAAAATACGTATGAAACAGCATGCGACATGGTACATAGACGTATGAAACAGCATGCGACATGGTACATAGACACGCTATGTTGGTATCAAACACACGCGGCAATATATACAGCTATATATATA